TAGATAGAATTCATCACATTTCTTTTTTCTCTAAACATATCCCAATGCAATGGAGAGAAAGATGATGAAGCCATTTTATTTCCAGGCAAAGGCTGTTTAAACATCACTGCAATTGATTTACCTAGTTGTCGTCCCTGGGAAAACAAGAAGACAGCCAAAGATATGCATACCTCACCTGAATATGGTCTGCATGGCTCATGAATGATAAAAATTAAAAGGATTTAGAATAAATAGGGAGGATGGTGAAAGGGTTTAAAATGAAAAAAGTGTGGTCTATCCATGTTAAGTTCTATGAAGCTCTTTATTCATGATGATTTGCTCATTGTATTTCCCCCCCAACTGCCAAAATGAAATGTAAAATTGTACCATTTTGGATATAAATGAACAGAGATTGTATATTTTTCTAAAAACAATCTTTTAATAACTTGAGATCACATCTGTATTAACATTTTAAAACTGGTATAAAGGATGATTTTACAGAAACAAAGTATTTTATTCAAATTGATCACAGAGACTATATTACTATATTCTATTTATCAAAAAATGAGAAAAAAATGTTCCATATTTTTAATAACAAAATTTTCTGACGTTCTTCAAATGACTTTTACTTGTATCTTTATAACTGTCATCAATAAAATGAAAGATTTAAAGGGCATCATGATTTTTCATTTGATCCAATTTTAAGACATAGCTTTCAAATACACATCCCTCATTAATAAACTTAAAATTACTTATAAAAATGGAAAAGATGTGAAAAAAACAACTGAAGCTGGAGATTTAATATTCAAATTGATACTGGGTAGACTTGACAGAAGAAGCCAAAAACTTGTAGAATATTTTAGAATAGAAAGTCACCAAAATTATAGCATTTGATGCCTGGGAAATTCGCAGTCAGTAGAGTTCACACACCACTGCTGCCCCACCTCCGTTGTGACAGCTACACTTGCCAATGCCATGTTGGAAAGAAATGGAAAGCAAAATCTCTGCACTGCCAACTATCCATCAGCAACACCCCTTGCACTTGTCTATCTCAGGTCAGAATCAGGCCAGGAAATGGATCATTGGAGTGGCATCTTTCCCTTCTTATTTATCATATTCCCTCAATTGGCTCTTTGACACACAACAAGGCAATCCAGGAGAGAGAAGAGCCCATAGATTTAAGGGAATGGGACAGGGAACAAGGCAGAGAACTGTATTGCTGAAAAGACTGCATGTGAAATGTGACTTTTATGCTATGTGCGCCCAGGTGACTAGTAGTCACCTCTCTCCTTATGATTGCCTTCATTAGTGTAAATTGTGGTCATCCCATCTGAAGTCGAATTGAAGACCATACCCTCCAATAGTTAAGTAGAATCTGGAGTCAGAAAGATTCCAGGCTGATGTAGTTTATACACCATTTCGCATAATCTCTGTGGACCCTGGAAAGCACTTACTAAGCGACGGTGCACCTCTGAGCTGAACTCTATACCTGAGGGTGACAGTGCTCACTTCAGAATCATTGTGAGGTTGCGTATGCTCAGCACAGGGCCTGACATTTAGAAAGTAGTTACTGTCATAATTACCTCTGCAGGGCGCCAGTCAGTGCAACAGAGGACCAGGATCTGGTGGCAGTAGCACTAATAAAACCTGAAAGCCTCTATCACTTTCACTCTCGACTGCTCATCTAAGGTCTCCCTCCTCATCTAAAGCTGTCATTCTCTTGATTCTTCAAAAAACTAAAACAAGAAATTCCATTTCACCAACCTATTCTCCTTCTAGGTACCTTCCCCAAAGTATTAAAGACATCCTATTGCAGTGATACATACCTACCCATCCTCAGAACAGCCCAAATCATAGTGGCTAAATCTTGGAAGCAGCCTATTTGTCTACCAACAGATGAATGGATATGTGGTCTTTATACACAATGGAGCACTACTCTGCCATCAAGAAAGATAAACTTGACTCATTTGCAGGAAACTGGATGCATCCTGAGACCATGTAGTTAAGTGAAATAAATCAGATGCATTAAGTTTAAATATCACATGGTTTCTCCTACAATGGGAAACCTAAAGTGTAAATAAAGAGCAAAATAGAAGATCATAGGAAGTAGGGAGACAGATCTCAGAAAGGAAAGGGATCAAGAGATGGAGGGAGACAGAAGGCAGGGAAAAGGGATGAAAAAGGCATTAAGACATAGTATGCACAGGTACCAACTACGTATCCCACAAGGAATATTAACATCATGTACTGCAATCATGTACTAATAGAAATAAATAAATGAATGGATGAATGGATGAATGAATGAATGAATGAATGAATAAATAAATAAATAAATAAATGTTTTTCTTCTTCCTGACCATTATCTTTAAAGCTAGTGTAGACTTTTATCACTAATCATGGTACAAGTAAGACTTAACAGAACTATGAACTTTTGCCTTTTTCATTGCCTAAATTACCCAATTAAGACATTGGAGTGTTTCAGTTCGTGTAAAGAAAAGCTCGGTTACCTTAAAAAAAGTACCTATGAATAATGATAAACTATTTACTGGGGTAATTTTAAGCTCTGTATAGCTCTCATAGGAAAAAGGTTTTGGTAGAGATGAAAATTAACCAAATGGATAGCTGACAATAGAATCATAACCTAGAAATATTATTGTGATGGTGAATCTAGCAGTCTTGGGGATTAGTGAAGCACACTGTGAGTGTTCCCGATGGGTGATTGTGATGTGACCTCAGGGACTATATCTAGCCCCTGCCCCTTCCTCGCCAGCGCTCTTCTCCTGTTCTGTGCTGGGACCATTAAGTGAGCAGTCCTTCCATCATGCTGTCCCTACCTTGGACTCAGCTTGCCATGGACCGAAGCCTCTGAACAAGTGAGCCAAATAAACCATTTCTTCTCCTCCTTTAAGTTAGGGGTGATAGGCATATTGTCCCAGCAATGGAAAACTGACCAATACCATTATAATTTCAAAAAATGTCACTGAAATGGTCCTTTTATTCTCATAGGATAACTGCAAACTTCTCTAAGACATGGGTCTTTTCTGTTTTCTTTAATGATGTGTTTTGAACGCCTAGAATACTATTGCCTGATACCTCCAGAAACGTACCTCATTAAACTATCATTCTTCTCTTAGAAAAGTGCAAAAGAAAAATATTCAATCACACGCGAATAAAGAGCAACAAAATACTAACTTTCAAGCACGTTGCTCTTCTAACATTTGGTCTTGGCTTTGAATTTGCATCATATGAATCTAAGTGAATCACTTGATTTCTCCGTCTGTAAGACAGGTAGTTTGCTATCTCGTACTAGTGATAAATCAAGTGCTGCATGACTAGAGAAGCTATCGGTTTCCTGGTGTAAAGTTAGCCCACAGCAAGTGTCTAGTGTTTCCATCGACGCTGGAAATTTTGCTGAGGCTGAGATCCATGAAGTCGGTGGCCATCGTAGGTTCCACAGTCAGGTGAAAAAGCCAAAACCAAACCACTTCCTTTCTGCCCAATCTGTGATAAAGACCTTCCTAGTGCACCCAGCTACCTGCTCCTTATACCCGGACATCTTCTAGAAGCACTCTGCGAAAGACAAAGATGCTTATGGCGCCTTCTCTCTGCCAGAGACTTTGGTTTGCAAGGCAGGATTCTTAGATGTTTGGTGGAAATTAATAAGAAAATCTTGAGCCATGCCACACAAAGCAGTTCGTACACCTGCTGTCAGCCCAAGTTATTGCACTTACTCAGTTTGCAAATCTCTGAGCATTTGTGGGGACACACATTGAGAAGAAAGGGAGCGAGATGCAATCGTTCTTTAAGTGTCTTTAGGATGACTATAACATTCAGTGTCACTGAGCGCTCCCAGTGTTCCCTCAGTTTCACCTCCTCCCTCTGCTCTTACACCCTCTCAACGGGAGCTGGGAACCTCCCTGCGGTGGCTCCCAGCGCTGGGCCGGGGGCGGGCACGCTCAGCAGAGCCCAGAGGCCGGGAGGCTGGAGGCGGTGGAGGCGCAGCAGCAAGAAGCGAGTGCTGGCGAAGAGCTGGGCTGTGAGCAGCTCCTCTCTGGACCAGCGAAGCCAAACCTCACGTGGGGACCGGGAGAATCCAAGGAAGGCTACATCACCGCGTAGGGAGCTGAACGCAGCCAGGTGTGCCAGGAGCTGCCGGTGAGTCACGTGCCCCTCCCTCCCCACCTGCCCAGTGTCCAACAGGTTGGTCCAGGCCCGGGTCCAGGGGGCCCTGAGCTACTGGTCTCACTCGGGCACCAGTTCTCCTGCCTCTCCCTTTATGGAGAGGTTGCTGTTGTTTAAACTCCTGCTCCAGCCTACGCCTGTTCTAATCCTTTCCTTTCTGATTTCCCCTTTTCCAAAAATGAGAGCTCCGCTGCGTGCTGGAGAACGGGCTCAGAACACCTGCGCCCCGGGAACTTAGGAGTGTCTCCGCGGGCGGCGGGAGACGACACCCAAGGGCTTGGGAGGAAGCACAGTGACCTCCGGTCCCCAGGGGAGCCCCGGGCCTGGAGCTAACAGTCAGCACTCGTTAACTAGCCTTATTTCTCCACTAGGAGGTCAGCACCCAAAGGGCTGGGGGCGGGGTGGGTGACCATCAGACTGGAATGAGAAATGGGAGGACACCGCGTCCCCGCGTCTTCACACCCCAGCGAACAGCCGAGGACTCGAGTTAGACAGGACCCGGACCGCGTCACCGGCTCCAAGGCTTTCTGAACTTTTAATCTGGGTCTCCGGGTGGCAGGAGCGAGTCTCCGTCCTCCTCGCGCCGTCCTCCTCCTCCTCCACCTGCCCCGCAGAGCTGCCGTCCCCCCGCTCCCCGAGCCCTCCTCCCACGGGCCAGCGAGGCTCCAACCGTGCCCCCCGGCCGGGATCTCAGGTGCAGCCTTGCGTGCAGTCCGGGTCCAGGTTCGGGCTCTGCTCGCAGCCTCCTCGCTGCGCCCCTCGCGCGGCTCCCTAGCGACGCCCGGGCGAGCGAGCCCGCGGGGCGGAGAGAGCCGGGGTGCGCGGGTGGGAGGCCGCTCCCTCGGAAGCCTGGGAGCTCCCGACCGCCTCCCCCGGGCGCCGTGCCACCGCCCTCGACGCGTTCCCAACCCTGGCGCGCCCCCAGGCACCGGCGATCGGCATGGAGCTGCCGCCCCGCGGCCGGGCGCCGCCGGGCTCGCCGCTGTCCAGCAGCTCCCTGACCTCTCTGGACTCCAGCGTCTTCTGCAGCGAGGGCGAAGGGGAGCCCCTGGCGCTCGGGGACTGCTTCACGGTCAACGTGGGCGGCAGCCGCTTCGTGCTCTCGCAGCAGGCGCTGTCCTGCTTCCCACACACGCGCCTGGGCAAGCTGGCCGTGGTGGTGGCCTCCTACCGCCGCCTGGGAGCCCTGGCGGCCGCGCCCAGCCCCCTGGAGCTCTGCGACGACGCTAACCCCGTGGACAACGAGTACTTCTTCGACCGCAGCTCGCAGGCCTTCCGTTACGTCCTGCACTACTATCGCACCGGCCGCCTGCACGTCATGGAGCAGCTGTGCGCGCTCTCCTTCCTCCAGGAGATCCAGTACTGGGGCATCGACGAGCTCAGCATCGACTCCTGCTGCAGGGACAGGTACCCGCGAGGGCGCCGGGGCTGGGCGGGGAGGCGGGGAGGCGGCGCGGGCCGGGAGGAGCAGGTAAGGTCCAGGAGGCTGGAACCCAGGTGGGTGGACGGGAAGGTGTTGCCACCGCTCCTCCTGGGAAGCTGGGCTTGGAGTGTGGGGTCAGAAAGCCTCAAAGCCAACTTCTGAATCCAACTTTTTGAATCTTTGTGTCCCTGTTGCGCAAGGGGGGTAAGCCACTTTTACATAAAAGAAGAAGCAGTTCAGGCTTTGCAATAAATAAATATTTGGTGACTGAATAAATAAATCAGAGAAATTATGCCTCAGAAGACACTTGTCCGTGCATAGGGAGGAGGGTTTGGATGTGCGGTATTATTTATTAAGCCTGGAACACTGACTTGCAAAAACTTATGCGGAGAACTATTTTAAAGCTGATTTAAAAGTAGATTTCTTGACTGAATGGCTGTAGGGCTCCGAATGGTAAATTCACTATTCTCTTGCCAATACTCTCATTTCTTCCTGAATTCTTTCCTTTATCATCAGAAAGTTCCATATGGCAGACACCTGTCTCTGTTACCAGGAAATGGGTAATAAAATGCATTGGTCCAAAGTGCTTTTGTTATGTAGAAATCCTTTTCCATACATTTCTACTAAGAGTGTCATTTTAAAAATCGTGATTCTGGGTGAGAATTTTTGAAATAGGGGAAAATCATGACCAGGGTAAAATATAAGACATTTTCCTGAAATAAAACAAAATGACTTCTCTGTCGAGTTTAATTCTGTTCTGTGTCGGGATTTTCAAAGGTTAGACTAATCACCAAATTGTCTTTTCCAAAAGATACTTCCGAAGAAAAGAGCTAAGTGAGACTCTAGACTTTAAGAAGGACACAGATGACCAGGAAAGTCAACATGAGAGTGAGCAGGACTTCTCACAGGGACCTTGCCCCACTGTCCGCCAGAAGCTCTGGAATATCCTGGAGAAGCCCGGGTCCTCCACAGCTGCCCGGATCTTTGGGGTCATCTCCATCATCTTCGTGGCGGTGTCCATCGTCAACATGGCCCTGATGTCAGCAGAGCTAAGCTGGCTGAACCTGCAGCTGCTGGAAATCCTGGAGTATGTGTGCATTAGCTGGTTCACCGGGGAGTTTGTCCTGCGTTTCCTGTGCGTGCGGGACAGGTGCCGCTTCCTGAGAAAGGTGCCCAACATCATAGACCTGCTTGCCATCCTGCCCTTCTATATCACCCTGCTGGTAGAGAGCCTGAGCGGCAGCCAGACCACACAAGAGCTGGAAAACGTGGGACGCATCGTCCAGGTTTTGAGGCTGCTCAGGGCACTGCGCATGCTAAAGCTGGGCAGGCATTCCACAGGTATTCAGATTTCATTGATGCCTTTTAATTTGCAAGGGTTACCAACTTGACTAATCACGAATCATTACTAAGCATTAGTGATTTGACTATAGTTTGAGAAAGCCACTCCAAATTAGTACTCAAAATTGCCAATTTCCATGCTTTACCCAACCAGGACTGCTGAAGTGATATGAGGAAACAAAACCTTGAAGTTGTCATCACAGGTCTGGAGGAGATGTCTCTCACATGCTTTCTTTCCACAACACATGAGGGGATATTTTGAACATTTATTTGTTTGGATGTCATTGGAGTCCAGGGCCCAAAGATTCACAAAAATTAACAATAGTCTGTCTCTAGATGGTACTAGATAAATATGCACAAATGACATGGAAGATGATACACATACATGCTGAGATCTATAGGGAGGGCCATAAGCTAGTTTGTCTTCTATATCTAAGTGCTTGCTCACTCTGTGTATTTCTTGGCTAACAAGAAAATCAGCCTTCTAGCACTTTCCCTGATTCTACCAGAAGAGACCATATGCTACTGGCCTTCCCACAACTGTAGAAGAAGCAATGGAAATATTTTGCTTTGTAAGACTGAGAAGACACTAATTAATGCTTTATTCCAATACTTGAGATTTTTCTTGTTCCTAATCTATGATGTATGATATTTGGGAGGAGAATGGAAATTCCTTAGCTTTTTGTTTTACATGTTAAAGAGACTTTGAAAGTCCAATGGCCATTCCGTACATAAACATCCCTTCAACACAACAGCTACACATGCACACACCTTATAGTACATCAGGCTTATTGTCGATGTCAATGGAAATCACACAGATGGATTAAAGATGGATCCCTGAGGGAGTGATTCTCAGTGGCTGTCCCTGCAGCTGCTGATTATTCTGGAGTGACATATGAGTTATCTTACCTCAGACGTTAAGAAAAATGGGAATCCCTTGACAAACTTCTTGAAAGGCAGATTCTGAGTACCAACACACAAAGCATTGGATTTTAGCATTGAGGTTGAATCCAGGAGCATTTTGATGCCAGTTAATTTTGATGAAGGTGATTCTTGGACCACACTTTGAAAAACTCAGAAGTAGGATGCCGTATCAGTACAATACATATTCTTACAAATGCATATTGGTACCAAGTTGGCTGGATACCCTTATTCTCACCTTAGTTCCTTAGATGTGTCATTGACTAGCCACCTGAATAGGATAATGGTAGCTGTGTCTCCCTAAAAATTTAGGAAGAAATTAACTTCTGTTAATTTAGGAAGAAAATTAAATAAAAATTTAGGAAGAAATTAAATTCTACATCTCTGTGGTAATTAGAACTTATCTTAATATAATTTTGGTAGTATAATTTTCTAGCTGGTCTCACATGCCATGATACAGGGGTTTCAGCAACTTTTCTAAGTACCATGCTTTGTTTTCTGACACACATAATGGGATGCTTTCTTTGGGTATTTATAAACTCTTCACAAGATTCAATTTTAAAAGCACCCGGCAAAGACTACATTTTTTTCCCAAATGAAAGGAAAAGGAAAATAACTGTAATTTTCTCTGTGTTATCTCTTCAAAGTTTTCTCAGTTCCAGATGAATATAAAGGATTACAAAAGGCTTAATTCAGTGAAAATATATGACAATCATATGCTTATGTGATCATTCTACCTTAAGCACAACATACAGTAAAATGTAGACATAGATGTCATGTTTCCACGCATTAACTGTGTGTAAAATTTGAAAGGTACTGCTGAATACTAGGTAGGGGGTCAGACAGGCTGGGTTTAAATTCTGGGATTGCAGCTTCAGACTAAATAAGCTAATTCTCTATACCTCAGCCTCCTCATTTGTAAAATGATACCAAATGATATCTGTTTATATTGATTTTTGAGGATTGTCTGAGTTAATAGATATAACACGCTAGACATATAACCCCCCTATGTCTTTTTTACCAAAAATGTTTAGAATATTTCATCTTCCCAGATAAACACTACATTTCTCATATACTGTGAATTTATTTCATAAATATCATTCCATATAGACACATTAGGGCTGGTTTTATAAAATTTAAAGGTATTCTAAAAGATATTGTTTTGAAGGTAAGCAGCACAATTAATATATATCAGTCTTTAAAAAAAAATTGGTTGTTTTACATACTGTTGTCTTCAAATTAGTTGTTCAGATTACCAGATAGAAGCATGCAAAACTGGTCAAAAAATTTAAGTGTTAACTCTTCCTTTCAATAAACCAACAAACATGAGCAGTACAATTATCCCAGCTGTCCTGTATATCCATACATATTTTCCCTTCCTTCTTTCTTTTCTCCTTTCCCTCACTCCAGTTATTTCCTCCCTTTGAGCGATTTCTTTCCCTTTCACAATATCTATTGTACCTTTTGAGTTTTATTTACTCTTTCAGGTTCTTACAGTAGGGAGACAATATAATGTTCACACAAGCTGATCTGATTTATTTCACTTATGAGTATGATCTCTAGTTGCATCCATTTACCTATAAAAGCCTTGAATTTATCTCTTTTATAGCTGAGTAATACTCCATTGTACAACCATTGTTAATTTCCTATCGTCCTGTTTTGAAATTGTTTTGTTTCTATTGTTTTCGTGTTGTTTTGTTTTATCTTTGTTGTTGTTTTATTTTCTTTTCTCTTCAAAATAAAAAAACCAGTTGGTTACATATACAAGAGGATTTCAAACTTTAAAGAGAAAAATTCAAAATAAGAGAACTTGAATAGTATTATAATGCATTTCAAATAACCTGTGGTGAATGAATACAAATTTTAAACTGGTGCTAGGAAGTATTGGCTCATACTCCTGAAGCAATGTCATTGTGATATCATGATGATATCATTTCCAAATGTGGGTAACCTTTTAGCAGCTAATGGTTAATTCAAATCCTACTTTAGTTTATAATGAGCTCCTCTCCTTAGGGCTTTGTTTCTTCACAAGTAGGACTGGACCTTCTTGGGTCTGTTTCCCAGGGGCTCAATAAATCATCAGACCTAGCAGGGGAACTCCACCAACACCTCATAATGAATGAATTTCCCCAGTGGCTCCATTCCCATGTTGTTGGGCAGAGGAATAGTCTGTATTCGGCTATATCTTCTTACAAGTGCACAGGAAGATAATTCCCCATAACTTTGGTATTAAGAACTAGGACTTCAGTTGGTGGCCCTGGGAGTTGAGGGCTCTTCTCCTGATACATCATTAAGAACATCCCTCAAATACACAGGATATCAATTTTGTCCGCTTGGCCTAACTTGCTTTGCCTGCTTTACTTCATTGTCATGGTGTACACTCTTTGCTTCCTCTGGCTTTCAGGAAATGAGGCAACTGATTATGTTAAACCTTATCAGGAGGATGAGAAAAGCAGATACATAAATGTAAGAAGACAAAGTACAACTAATATGAGAAAGAAGTGCTGAAATGATGTATTGAAATCCAGGTTTGACCAGCTGAGGCCTCTGTGTGTAACACTACAAAGAGCTTCTGCTAAAAGTACAAAACTCCTAGGACACACCCTCAGCCTGCCTATTAGAAGTAACGCACCTTTTAAAAATATGAATTACATGAGTGAATTACATTTTTCTCTATCCTCTGAAACTGGCCCCATCAACTAGACTATCAGCTTCCTGAAGACAGGGATTTGGACTTAAGTATCTTTCTATCTCCCGAACATTGCCCGGTGTTGGAGATATATTTAGCTATACAATGCATGTCTGTGGGTGGACAGCTGGAGTGGAGAGGGCAGGGAGAAAGGAGAGGTGCCACTGAAGATGTGACTCACAAAAGGTGTTCTCTTGCAGGATTACGCTCCCTTGGAATGACAATCACCCAGTGCTATGAAGAAGTCGGCCTACTGCTCCTATTTCTATCTGTGGGAATTTCTATATTTTCAACTGTTGAATATTTTGCAGAGCAAAGCATTCCCGACACAACCTTCACAAGTGTCCCTTGTGCATGGTGGTGGGCCACTACATCCATGACTACTGTGGGATATGGGGACATTAGGCCAGACACCACTACAGGAAAAATTGTGGCCTTCATGTGTATATTATCGGGAATCCTTGTCTTGGCCTTGCCTATTGCTATTATTAATGATCGCTTCTCTGCGTGCTACTTCACCCTGAAACTCAAGGAAGCGGCTGCTAGACAGCGTGAAGCTTTGAAGAAGCTCACCAAGAATATAGCCACCGATTCATACATCAGTGTCAACCTGAGAGATGTCTATGCCCGGAGTATCATGGAGATGCTCCGTTTAAAAGGCAGAGAAAGAGCAAGTACTAGGAGCAGTGGGGGAGATGATTTCTGGTTTTAAATTTGTTTTCATTTTATTTCCAAAAGCTGTGTACAAGTAACTCAATTGATAAAGCCTTGCTATGGATATTTGCATTGCCCATAAGGAATCTTCTGAGTTCTATCCACTTCATATGTGAGGATACGTTATTTGGTCTGGTAGGCTATTTCACACCCCCCATAGCAATTACACATTGTTTTTGACACATCTGTGCCTCAAAACTACTCAATTAGCATAAGCAAATACAATTGGAATAATTTATACATGTATGATTTGTCCAATATGAAATAACCTTATTGCAATACATCCAACATCGTTAAAAGTTTTACATGTGTCATTACTTTTAGAAAGTCTTTTGCACCACTAATTTTTTTAAAATGGAAGTTAAAGTGCTAGTCCAGAGATAAGTGAACATTTAAGAATGCTCTGAACATCTTGGCTATTTAAAGATATTCTCTGAGTGAATTCCTCCTTGCCCCATTATTTCAAGCTCTTGAATGTAACAATTAGCTCTGCGAGAAAAGACCTGACTTAGGGGTCACCGACTGTGTCCCTGTCTTCCACATGGTGCAGATCATTACTCACAACCAGCCTCCTATCCTCGCTCCTCCAGGTGGAAGCCCAAAACTGCTTAGTCTGCAGTAGATGAGTTTGCACAGACCCCAGAATCACACACTTCATTCTCCCAACTGAGGATGGTATGTGAAGTATAAAGCAGTTTATATCTTAGTTCCTCATGAAAATCGGATTAATTTTAAGACATCTCATTATAGATGTTTTATTTAAGTCATGCATCCAAAATTATGACTGTGTAAAAGTGAAGTTGTGAATATCTTAAATTTATGAGCACAGATTATTAAATGGTCTTATTTCATAAAACAAGACATCATTGGATGAACTTGCGGATCTTTAATTTGTTAACAAAAAATATTATGGATAGATTTCTGATTGTTGGGGTAAATAACAAATGTTCAAACTTTGCAGGCATTTTGACAACATTTTGACATTCATGATAATAATAAAATTCCTAGACATTCTGTTACATAATTAAAGCCAAAACCTCTGAAGCTAAGAGTGAGTTTATGATTTCAAATATTCTACTAAAGGAAATTTTTCTAAAGTAAGAATAACAAGGAATGCATCTCTTTGTTCAGTCAGTGTAATTGCTTTTAATATCTGCTTCATCAGTATATGCAGTCTAACCCCTAAAGGGAAAAAATCAGATCTTGGGGGAATATTTTTCTTCTTCTGAATAAAACACAGATATACATTCAGTGTGGGAATATATATACAAAATATCTGTCACATTAAAATTTTATGAAGAGGAATTTTATGAAAAATGCCTAGAAGGCTACTTTCTGAGGGTGGGCAGTGATAACCCCTCAAAACTATTGCTTCACTATAGGGCTATAATGTATTTCATCAACTATATTTAACATACCCTCTGTATTATGCAAATATCAAGAAGGAAGGTGTCAATTAGTTGTAAGATGCTATGAACTGTAAAATGCAACCAGATTTTGAACATGTAACATATAATATGTATCTTAAACAGCAATGAAATATTGCAGGTACTGCCTCCCATCTGCTGGTATACCTGCTTAAGCTCTGAAGCCTTTTCCATTGGTGGCACGAATTTTACATTATATTTGAAAGTACTTTCATCTATGTGACTTGCTTGTACTTCTCCTGAATATTAGAAAATATGGGTAGTAACAAACATCTTACGCATAGACATGCATGCGAAGTCATGGTGTAGGGCTGTCGGTCCCTCCTACAAATCCCATTCACACTCTGAAGGGGAAGTAGAAATTAGACACGGAAGACGAACCTGCTGTGGCTTCTCTAGAACTTTCCCTAATGAGGCCAGTTACTCTGCTTCAGTACAATGCTCTGTGGGCATCAAGTATTGTGTTACCTAATCCTGAAAATATCCCAGTTTTGCATATTACTAGTGTTATAGTCCTCTGAATGTATATTTTCTAAGTTTAATAATTCAAAAGTATTTATTTAGTATCCCTCTAAGTGGTGGGGACTGACTATTCTTTGTTAAATAAGACTAAGTCCTGATCTTCTATGTTTAAAGTTCTGTTCAAGGATGTTGGGAGATGTCAAACTGAGATATCAAAATATGTAAATTTGCCTAAATTCATACAGCCTACAGGTGGAAGATTCAGGACTGAACATAAATCTACTTGACTTGGAAAGTGAAGCTCCAAAAGCCACATTATAGAGTTTGTTCTTCCCACAAAATCCATGCTTAGGGATTTATTCCAGAGGCAGGCAAGCCAGCTCCTTGTGGATGGCGAGATTTACTATGCCTTAAGGGAAATATCACATTATTCTCAGAGGTAGAATGGTGCTTTTAAAAAATAATTGTGAGGGCTGGAGATATAGCTCAGTGGCTTAAGTGCCTGCCTGGCAAGCACAAGGTCCTGAGTTCAATTCCCCTCACCAAAAAAAAAAAAGATGATGATCAAAAACAGTTGTGACAACTTAGTTATTGGACAAAAAAATAGTGTCGTTAGTGTAATTAATAATTAGAAATTTTTAAATAAATAATTATATGTGTGTATACTTATTCATAGATTTTTGCCCTCTAACCGAAGATCCTAAACATATTCTACACAAATGTGGTTTGTTAGCTATACAATATTTGTCACAATATGGACATTTCAAAAAATTCCCAAGCTATCATTGCTTTGTCAAGTTTGCTGTTATATGAAATATCAGTGTGCTTATTCAATGAGTGTACATATAAGTGAATCAAATTCAATTTACATAACACATCAAGGCATTTTATATTCCATTATTTAAAAAACATTAAACATTCTTCAAAATCTAAAAATTATTCTGAGAAAATGCTATTTAGTTTATTTAGAAATATAAAACAATGGAATTATTGTCTTTCTCTAAGTTATTTAGAGAAAACTAATTAAAAACTTTTGAATGCACAATCTTGAGTATCTCAAAAAGCAAATTACTGAAAACCCTTTAATAGGAACCATATCACATTCTTCTATTTTCCCCCACATACGGAATACACACACATGCACAGAATTGTTACACTTATCATTTTAATGGAAAGTAATATTAAACATAATACATAATTCACAGAAGCATTCACAGAGGTAGAAATATCAGTTCTAAAAAGAAAAGAGAAAAGAAATTTCAGTTCTGTGTTTCAATGTGGACTTGCTACTCTTTTAAAATCTTTGGGCCAGCTCATGAAGAAAATATATACTCTTACTCAAGTTATCTAAGCAAAGTATTATCATTTAGTGAGCTTACTATGTTTTCAAATATTTATACTGGTATATTTTAACATGAAAAGCTTCTTTTGAAAAATTAGGCATGAATATCTGTCTTACTAATCCTTCAGTTTGTGACCAAAGGTTGAAAATTGGTTGGCCGAATAATAATGTATTTCTATACTTATTTTGATGATTTTCCTTCCCAAAGCACCACCATGTGCAAACATCCCCCCAGGCCAGGCTGACATATCAGTGAAAAATATCCCACAGGGAGAATTTCACTCACAAGCCCCACTGTCGATTGCTTACATGGTAAGACTTAGGAGTAATGCAATGACCTGGATCCTCATCATTCCCATGACCTCACTTCCTTATGTTATAATCTATTTCCTGTTCACCCGCTTTTCTCCATTGACCTTTGACTTCCTCTTCCTTTCTAATAATCAATTGGCGATACCCTCACCCTAATTAAATCCAATCCAAAGCCCACCTCTGCCTGCTCCTCTACAACCAATAATGACGACAGAAAAAACACACAGTACAAGCCGATTCCTCTCATTTTATACTCATGTCTCCGAGGTCATTTGGGTTCTCATCCTGCCAGGCAATTGGACTGCAAGACTCGTTCCTGAGTCCATTCACTTTCAAAATGAATGGAAACCTCTAACACCTCATTTTGATTTCTCTTTCCCTGGGAAAGTTACATGATATAAGAGATTTTCCACAGGAAGCAGCACCCACGTTTACCCACCTACCTCCATCTGTGCCTCTTCGCTCTGCCTTTCCTCAGTACACGGGTCGAACTTTCCAACCCACTCTTTTCCCCAGCTCTTGGAGACAAAGCTTCAAAAGTCTCCTCTCTCCCCTGCCACACCTTCACTGCTCTCCCTCTCTGTTGGAAAGTTCTGTCAACATATAAACATGATGCATTTTTCCATCTTAAAATAACTGAAAGAAAAAAAATGAGCAAGAAAACTCCGAGTCTGTGTCTTTCTCCAGAAAACACCAAGCAGCCTGCTCTCCTCCATGACAAAACCTGGCAGCATTTTCTCTACTCATCTCCCCTTTTCTATATTCCCTCTTTTCCATTCTTTCTTTTTTTTTTTTTTTCCCCCGGTACTGGGAATTGAACTCAGGACCTCATGCTTGCCAGGCAGGTGCTGTGCCACTGAGCTAAATCCCCAGCCCTTCCATTCTTTCTTAAAAATCTGCTAAAGCCATTATCCTATCTCCACCTATCCTGTAAGACTGTTCTTCTTATGGTCAGCAACGGTCCTGTTCGTGTTAAATCCAACACCCAGTGTTCAGAATTCATAGTGTATCAGCCCATCGACAATATTTTACAAGGCTAATTGCAGGCCCTTCCTTAAAACACCGCCTTGCTTGACTTCACTCTTCACAGTCTCTTAATTTTGCCCTTACTTCCCTGCTTGGCCATCTTTCTGGTTGATGTGATCACTCAGGACCTAATCTGCTGTCCCTTTCCGCTCTTTATTTATTCTGCTTCCTTGATAAAATAAACCGATTTCATGACTTAAATATTACTTATAGGCAACTCTCAAATTTCTATGTCTGTTTCCGCTTCCACTCACTTTCTGCAGCTGTTCAACAAATGTCCAATAAATATCTCACAATTAGTGCATCCGATCTCAGAGCATCATCAACATTTTCGAGAAACTCTAAGTGCTCTGAAAAGTGGACCAAAGCAGATGATTATTGCAATACTGATTAGGTGCAAGACATTTATTGTGGAATAAAAAGGCTTGAGTGATAAAAAGAGGAATCTGTACAAGGTGAAAGAAAACTTCTGATCTGAACGCACATCTGACTGCTCT